CTTCATGTAAACCCTACGGAGATTGGGTTTTGAAATGCACCACAACCGCATTCCAATTTGTTGAACCGCCCCTGTATCACCAAGAGAAGAGTTGAGAAAGAAAATCTGGAGCGATCTCCAGGATGATGTGCAGCCCAATGGCCAGGCCAGGGATCTGATCCAAAGGTCAGGGGATGACCAGGGGATGTCTTCCATCCTTCGTAAAAAAGAAAAAACACATATTTGGGGATAGACGAAATGTACCTCTGAGGGGAGGGGGTCTCCAAAACTAATTTGGACTAAATGTGGAGCTCTGGACCAGAATCTTGATATAGTATGCTTTGCGCACCCTAGATTTGGCCAAAGATTGGGGCAAAGCACCAACAAAGATTACTTATGACATGTTACCCATAGCCATTGAGGGGCCAGGAGTATTGATCAACCCCCATAGTATGCCGGCGACAGACATCCCTCCCTGCGCACCTTGGACCCCTTTTTGAACAGTGCTCAGCATTAGAAGGTTTCGTTGGCTTTTGTTCTGCCCCTCGTTGGCCGGAGGCACCCTTGTTGGAATTCCTTGTAGAAATCACCAGCCAAAAAAAGGTGTTTGTTCTTCGTGGTCGCTGGGCGACATGCATCTCTGTGCAATCAACCACTGAAAACAAGATGGTCCTTCTTTTCTGGTTCCGACCAAGTTCAGCTTGGCAGAGTTGTGGAAGTGTCATGTTATCACCAGTACGGACCCCTCTAAAGTGACCCTGAACAAGCTAGCCTTTGACCTACAGCCTTGAACAGGGAAACAAATCATGGGACTAGTGCTGGTTCCTTGCAAAACGTGGGGGCAGTTTGGGGGGGAGGGCTGCTTTTTAGGCCCAATGCACTCCCCGTTTTGGGGACTTGCCCCACCTGTTGGTAGGACAACCCAACTTTCCATTGAGGTGTTTTGGGGAACTTCGGATTCATTCGGATCACACCACGAGGGATCCTCGGAGGGGGGTTCTCCAAGATGACTAAGCCCCGATGCGGAAGAGGGGCAAATCAAAGCTACTATATCAGCCCACTAGACAATTTTTTGTTATTTGTTTGCTGCCTTTCCACTTTTTAAATCCACATTTGTTGGCTCCCCAAGCTTCTCTTGGCAAATCCATGGTTTTTGGATTTCCCCCGCTGATCTTGGTTTCTCGTGACCCCCCCTGATTTCCCCGCGTTACATCCCGCAGTTGCCCACCCCGAAGTGCGTTGCTTCGTGTTGCGAAACGAGCAGGCGATCGTGTTCTGGGGCGGGCTCTTCGGTATGGTCTCCGTGCCCGTCTTTACGGTGGGGGCACACAGGCGACAGCGTCAGATGTCAGCCGTCAAGCCACAATCAAAGCTCGGGTAGATATAGGGTAGCACTATTCCCAACCAGAAATAGGCGTGGACGCCCTTTGGAGTCTTTGCATGGTGCTGGGTAGAGACCTCGGCTCAATACAAGATTTCCCTGGAGCCATCAACCCCCACTATTCAGGTGCACCATCGGATGCTTAACAACAACATTCGAATTGGGACGAGCATCCAAGCATAACCACCTTGAGGCGTCAATCGGGGGTCATTCAGGGGTTGCTCGAAAGTTTACATCAGAACCATAGATGGTTCGTCCGGGTTCGCGAGATTTAAATGGTGAATGGTCAAACATTGCCAATCATAGCCATTTGATTGCAAAGATAGCCCAGCCACTAGTCCCTAGAATGGGCAAACATGGCCAATCATAGCCATCAATCGCTAGACAGAGCCCAAAAAAAACAAACATAGCTCATCTTCGAAATCCAGGGAGACGCTGATCCTCTCGAACAGCTGGGGAACCGCTCTGAGGCGTACACTCAGTGCCCGGCTTGGTGCGGGTCTGCTTCTGAGAGGGTGGGACGAGTGGGTTTTGCTTGTTTTCATGTGCATGTCCATTGACATGACAAACATTTGTTGTCCTTTGGTGGGACTCTGAAGGTCAATTCTTGGCAATAGTTAGGAATTGGCGATATAAAAGTACGTACTCTGGAGTATAAGCCTCGGCAATACTACATTCAGAGTTTGCAATGCCAAAGTAAGTACTAGCAAGTCGAAGTCGAACCCAACCCCAAGCTTTCTCACTAAAGAGGCCCTCGGTGACTGTTGCGGCTATTAAAGCAGCCCCAACATTTTTCAGTTGATTCCCTATTGGCAAAAGGCAACAAGTTGAAAGCCCTATCAATTTCCGCAACCTCGAAGGGCTGACATCTTTCCTGGGCACCGCCCTGGCGAAGTCCCTCCAAAGCCCAATCCTCGCAAGTTGAATGTAGAAAGGGCAGTTCCTTGTGAAGGTAGCGAGGCCGCCTTTAGAAGCATGTTGGTAGAGGACATCAGCGAGTTTGGGCGCAAAACAGAAGCGAGCAAGCACATGGAACCCCAATTCTGGTCCACCCAGTTCAGGGGAAATCTCCACATGTATCTGCCAACTGTACCCGTTGGTAGGGTGTGCCAACTAAGTGTGGCTCACTGTTCTGCAGGGTTGGGCCAAGAATCTGGGTTTCCTCGCGTCCCTTATGTTCGCCGAAGCTGAGGATGATGCTCGTCCTTGGCCTGCTGGGGCTCGTCACTTCCCTGCCCTGGGCCCTAGAAAGCGACCTCGCATAGAGGGAGGTCAGCTGCTGACAAGGTGTGTTGGTTGGTCACATCAGTAGTCTTGTGGTCACAAGGGCCTTCACCTGTGGTTCCCTTTGTCACTTGCTACCTTTTCAACCATCCAGCGTTTGAGCGTCCAACCGAGGGAGACATAATGATATCCTTCTGGGATCAGACCACATGTTGGCTTGCAGATAGTTGTTGTCTCACAGTTTGTTGGGTTCCATGGCAATTTTCAGTGGAGCATTCGGCGGGCTTGCAAGTCAGTGTTCAGCAGAATTGACGAAGGGTCATCAATTTCATGCTTACCAGGTACCCACCTTTCCTCTTTTCAAAGGTTACACGTTGTTATCCAAACTCAATTCGTCAGAAAGCTTGAACCGTCAGCAAGCAAGCCTTCATACTTCAGACTGCTTTAGTTGTTCCAATACTTCCCATTTAACACCAAGAGGCGAACACCGTGCCTGAGGCTCCATGACCCCCATGACGAGCACTTCAGCATGAAGGGAGCGCTCACCCGCGTCGAGGCGCTGGGCTCGAGAGCTGGTCAGTGATCAGCTTTGGGGAAATTGTTTGCGGGCCTCATTTTTGCTGAAATCAATAATAATGAGATTGTCAACCAGATTATGTGTATATAATATATATATATATATATATATATGGCTGTGGGTCAAAACCAATGGTACCATTTTGGGGCAGGTGCGCCACCCATCTTAGTCTGTTTTATTGGGGATTGGGATGTTCACTGGGGGGTACGGGATTTTGACCCATGGCCATATATCACTATATATATATATAGATATACATAACTATGGACACTCGGTTTGTTGAACTCATTTTTTGTAATACCAAAAGTGCATTTTTTATGACCCGATGTTGTGTGTGAGTGGCTGAGAGAAACCCCTTTGAAGTGGTAGAGGAATCATAAGGAGTCACAATTTGGTCTGAGAGAAAGAGTAAATGTCGACAACCACATTGTCTAGCTTGTCTAGCATCTCTATCGCATGCTTACAAAAGGGATTGAGGTTGGCGCCTTTGGACATTCCAACTTCTTTGCTCCTCGGTTTTGCCTTTACCCTCCCACCAGCCAACATAGATATGCATACCACGTCGTTTTCCAAGAGGAAGGTTGTCTTCCAAAAGGGATCTCCACACTTTCAATGTTGGTTGGTTATCACTTGTTTTTGACTGAATCTATGCCAACAGAGTTCTATGTTGGGGTGAGGGTGGGTACTCTCTTGCAAAGTATCATGGAAGCTGACAGGAAGTGTTTGGAAGGCTTTCCTTTTGGGCAAGCCCCAATGATTGTTGGAAACGAGGATAAGGCTAAAGTAAGAGAACTTGCGATACGTGGTGCCAGATCGCACAAGGGTCTTCCGGATTCTTTTTGGGCATCAGTAGCCTTGTGGAAGGCTAGATCTCGTGTCCCAAACGGGGCGCCAGGGACTTTTTCGCCAGCTTGGCGCGTGCCAGGTGCCTGACGCCCTCTTCTTTTTGGGGGTTTTGTTCGCAGTGGGCGGCCTGGAGCGCGTGGGCCTGCTGAAGGACTCGGGTCCTTTGAGAGGACCCCTCCAAACAAAGCAAGTTGGGGTTGAGTAATTCGGGGTTTGCATGGGATTCCACCCACCGGGAATCCATGTCAAAGTTTAGTCATCAATTCTACTCATCTACTTCCACCCTGGTGTACGCTCCCACTGGATATTTTCTTATTCTAGACGATCTAATTCCAGAGAACGCCTTGTTTCCTGGACTATGTTGTGTTCCCAAACATGCAATCCCGAAATCTACTTCAAAAACCATCGGAAGCAGGATGCGGGTTTGGTTCTGGCAGGTTGGAAGGCCCAACGGACGCCGGGATGGGTGGAGGGCCGCATGGTTTAATCCAGAGGAAGGCACGTCAAATGCTCGCCTGGCGTACATGGCTGGGCTTCAGGTGTTCCAGTGTTGGGGCCCAGCCAAACCGTGGGCCAAGACCTGAAAGTCGCACTTCGTCGGGACACCAAGGAGAAATTTCTGGGCCCACAGACAGAAGGCGTTGTCACGTAGTGCGGGTTGTCTCCCAGACCCAGCTTCCTGGACAAGACAATGTGGGAAAGTGCCGGTCTATGCAGGTCATCTTCACTCTTTTGCCAAAACAGTTGGCAGCACCTTAAAGATTTGTCTCGTCTCCCGGACTTCGGCCATCCCTTGCTGGGTTTGCCCTTGGATGAATTCTAGCGGGAACGAGAACACCATCCGCTCATATCCGCTGATGAAAGGTTGCAGCTAACGATGGGGTTTGTGCACAAACCAGCCATCAAACGAGCCAGTTTGGGCGGTTTGCTTTGGGTTTGTGACCCAACCAGTCAAAGGGCACGGAACAGCTGCTGAAACGTTGTGGGGACCCCATTTTTTCTGAGCTGACCGTGAGACAGTTGAAGGAGTTCGCAGTCGCACTCACCAACGTGTGCCCCTACGAATCCCTGGCGCCTCGACAGCTCGTCACCCGTTGACAGATGGACCTTTCTAAAAGGACCAATTGAGCTGAAAAGTGGCTTCACCTTGGCTTCCCTTTTCTTTGGTTTCCCTTTGGCATCGCTTTGCCCTTCCCAGGCTAGTTTTTTCGGACTGGCCCTACTGACTTGGGCTTCATGGCAAAGGCAGGTAAGTAGCGGGTGGGAGGGTTGTCCTCTTTAGACTTTGGACTGCCGTATTGGGCAAAATGCGCGGTGCCATGTCAATGTGTTTCTTTCTCCAAAGGGATTCGACCTCCTTTTGGTCAGAATTTTGAGGGAAGTAAAAGGACAGTATCCATTTCAGGAGGCCACTATTTTGAGAACCGGCCATACATACGGTGTAACTAGCTCTCCTTTCGGAGTTACGGAACCAAGACTAGTTTCGGAAGAAGGATTCGGAAGGACTATCCTGGTTTGGAGCGGCGACAGGTAATACGAGGAATTGAACAACTACGAACATTCCTTGTTCTATGCTCAGTTTTAGCCATGGCCGGCACACACGAGGTTCACTCAAAATATATTGTCGTCTACAGTCTATCGGGTAGACATCACACTAAAGAAACGAGCTCATATGCCTATGTGTCAACATAGGGGTACCCCCCTAAATGATGGGCTTACTTTTGGGAATTTCCCTTTTCCGCCCGAAAAGGGTACCCACCAAGAACAGACGCCCGCGCGGCCGTACGGCGTGGCGATTTTCAGGTGGCCATTTTGCTGGGCTTCGCGTCTGCCATCGTGGACAACGTGCCCCTGGTGGCGGCCGCCCAGGCGCGGACGCGTCTCGTGCCTCAGAGAGGTTTGGCGGGGCGAGGAGCTTGGACTTGGCGTTTGTATGAAAACCTGGCGAAGAAAACCATGCTGTTATTTGAACAGATGCTAAACTGGCGTTATTAAACAAAACAATGTTTGAGAAACCTGAGGTTTAGTAAGATCCTTCATTTTGACTAACGTGAGGGGAGAAAGATTTGAGTGGGATTGGGGTTGAAGGTTGACCAAGAAAAAAAAAGAAACCAAAAACGGATGTAAGTGGGTTTGTGCCTCAGGGTCTATCCGTTGGACGGGAGAGCGTGTACATGGGAACTAACGGTGGACGGCCTTCCTTCCCTTTAAACCCCATAAATTAACCAGACAAGAGAGAAGAACTAGATGATAAACAAACTATAACCAATTATTAATATAAACATAGAGAATATAGAGCCAACTAAAGATCTATATATCTGTCTCCAACCAATTTCCTACATTAGACGATAGAAATTGGTGATGAAAGCAACCAAAAGGTCTAATCCTAAGGGCTGTGTCTATCTCTTTTCATCGTCTATGAACTCAGGATCCAGATGAAACGATGAAAGGTCTAAAGGTAATTCCTATTCTTGAAGGGGCCAGGGCTGGGAGATCAGGGACCAATTTGAACCCCTTAGGAATGAGGATGTTGAAAGAGGTAGTTGGGCGATTAACTCCTTGTAAGTGCCAACCATGGTAAACATCTATGGCTTCAACTGCCTCCTTTCGGTTCCCTAAAAATGGTACGTTCGGCTGTTTCAACCAATTTGGCCGAATCCTGCTGGAAACCCAGCAATTTGATGGTAAAATGGAATTTGAATCCAGCCAAACCCTCTACATTTATCATGGGCCCCCTTTTTATCACCTTGGAAAGGAGGGCGTTTCGGCTTTCCTTTGACAAAGAGGGGTATCCTCGAATACCACATCCCACATGAGTTATTTTCTCGTTTGGAGCCAGTCCTGGCTTCTAACTCTAGGACCGAGGCGGGGCCACGTGTGAAAACGATCCACGAGGGTTGGGGGGGAAGGGGGATCTTGGCATGGAATTTCTGGGTTCATTTCCGGGAAAGACGAGTCATGGGATGGGGAACTGGGGCACACATCCCCGCCCTCTCCCCCCTTCCTCTTACGGTGGGGGCCATGAGGTGACTAGCTCGAGCCACAAAGGTGGATTCCCGGAGAGGCCTTGGCCACCCTGAGCTGTCCGAAGCTGGCTTGCGACGGGCAAAATTCGCTGGGCTTGGCTATTTTACCGCAAATCAATGTAGCAGAGGAGCCAATTTGGGAGGGCTCCTTTGCAGCCGCGGTTCGCTCCACCTCTCGGAATTGGGTTTGCGGCTTTGCGAGAACCGAGCCCTCCTGGCAGGGCATGTATGACATTGCGGATCATCCCGCCAACGCGTTCCTGTGGAACATGATCACGTGAGCTCAAACTGGGGTTGTCTGGAATGTCTATCGGAACCTGTCATTTGACTCCTCTAGTGGCGGTGATTATGGTGAATGATCTAAAGATTTCAAAGTGAGCCTCTCGCGTCCAACATGTCGAACCACAAGAGCATGGAAACTGCAGTAATTGAGTTAGGTGGTTCCCTTGCAGCCGCATTGCAGTACCCCCCCCGTTGAAGTGAAGAAGGAAGCTTTTACTTGTTGCGTGTATTTGTCATGAGGCGTTACAGAGCCTTTGTGGGCCCAGGAGTCGCATTTGTCTCAACTACAGTCGTCAGTTAGTTCGTTTGGTTTGTTTCAACATGTGGGTTGTTCCAATTAGAATAACTATCCTGATTTTTTGGGGTTCAACAACAGTCATTAGCCTGGTAGGCTCAACAAAAGCACCCAACACCTGCGCACATTGTAAACAAAGTTTGTGTTTTTCCGGGAGAGACATTAGGATCCCTGTCCCTGGAAAGGTTTCGCAGAACCCTTCCATCAGAACCCCTAGGAACGTTCTCCAAACCATCCCTAGGAATTGGGCACAAGCAATGTCAGCTTCTTTCAGGGGCCCCTTTCTATCACCATCCAATAGTGCGCGTCCTTTTCCAATTTCAGGACACCCCCTCCCGGAACCCCTCTTGGAAAAGGGGCCTCACCTCCACCATCACTGACAAGGGTTTTCTCAACCGCACAATATTGATCTCAAGTTCGTCAGGTACTGCGCAGCCACTGGTGGCTCGCTCTTGGTGATCGGATCTGCTGCAGGTGGAGTTGCACTTTGCTTTGACGGAGATAGCCATGCTTTTTGAACGAACAACTGCAGGAACACGACGAATGTCTGCAACCACTCACCAGCATCAAGGGAGTAGCGCGTTCAATCAACGAGTTTGTCCTCGGTTGGTTTGCGAGAGGGTCCATTCAGGGTGTGGCTCCAAAAGCAACGACCCATTTAGGGACCCCTGGCGAGGGAATGGTTCGGCCATATGGCCAGGGGCACGAGCGCAAGGGCTTTTTTTGACATCCCACCACATATGAGAACTAGGGGCTCCCTCCCAAACACCAAATACGTGGCAAGGGGGGTAAAGGTCTGACGTGCAAACCGAGGTCTGGGGGTTGGATTTGGCGTCCAAAGCAACAAAAGTAAGTTGAAAACCCCTCACTTGCATCCCTACCCAAACACGTGGACAGACCCTCAAAATGCCACCTGGTTTTCTGGGACCCCCGAGAATATGGCTGGTTTCTATGTGGTTTCTAGTCGATTTTGCATCCCGGGCGCAGGCGTTGCCTTCATGGGCATGGAGAAGAAGGTCTCCTTCGGATGGCGAAAGCCTCGGAGCCGCGGCTTCCCTTGCTCCATGGGTGTTTTGAGGATACCCTTTGTGCTAAGGGAAGGCCGAAGGAAGCAAACTTCTTGGACCAGGGGTTCCTCAAACGATCCTGTGTTACGGCTAAGGGCTTTGGAGGATCTCATAGCCCGCTTCCCAAGCTTCACAGTTGATCGGAAGTGATCGGGCTTCGGAGAAATGGGAAATAGAAAGCAAATAAACTGCTGTCTGGCTCATTGAGCTGGCAAGCCTTGAACTGTTTGGTATGTTTCTCCGAAACATAGCCCAGGTAAAACGTCTGAACTGTTTTCTGGCCAGTCAACTCAGCTGTTTTGGAGTTATCTCTTTTCAGGATGGTTCTGGCTTGAGGGTTGGTTGAAAACAGAGGGCACTGAACGTTCAAATGCCATCGCATGTAACACCCCAACAATTTGATATGGGCATGGCTCCTTTTGGAGTCACCCAAGGAAAGCTACACCTTAGGACTTTCTGGAAGGCATTGAGAAAGGTCACCTCCAACTCTCTTTGGATTGCTGCATTAAATTGCTTTTGGCCTGTGAACTTCCATGTTTGAACCTGGATTCCAAAAACCAGATTTGCTTTGCAGGGCGTTTCCCTGAACATCTGAGGGATGCCCTCTAAAGTGGGGGGACTTCCCCTCCCCAACACAAGCCTTCGTTTTTGTTTAAACGTATCCATTTTGCGATCGCAACCCGGCAGTTTCGGGAGGGGTCGTCTGATCGAGCTAGCTCGAGGTACGTGAAGAGCATCGGCCCGGCCGCGCTGGCCGGGTACTTCTTGGGCGTGAGCGGCATCCTGGGCCAACAGGTGCGGCTTCTCGCGCTTGAGAAGGGGGTGGGGTGGGGTGGGGTGGGTGGGGGGAGGTGGCTGGGTGGGGTGGACGGAGTGGGTGTGTCTTTTTTCTTCTTTTTTTTCTACGGACCTTGTTTTAATAAAGGCTCAAGATTTGGAACTGGTTCTATGGAGTCGCCCCAGCGGCAGGTTGAGGATTCTTTCAAGAAGGACATTGTAACCTAACCCGACCATCTGAATGGCACTTCCACGTTCCGGGTCCCGACGGCAGAAAGTCCCAACCTGTGCGAGGGTTCTGCAATATGTCCGGCCTTGTACAGCCGCTGGATAGGCCGGTTCAGAGCAAGACTTTTTAAGGGGTGATTTGGCTAGGTTGGACATGTAGGGTAGTTTGTTTGAGGCAGCAGTATTTGATCATTGGTTTGCAATCAAATCTGGTTTGAAGGCTAGTGCGGGACAGCGTCCTTGCGATGGGAGCAGAATGCAAGAACCACGCTTTTCATTCTTTACGGGGGTTTGGGCAGATTCCTTTACGGGTTGTTCATGGTCAATCCTTCTGCCACATGGTAGTGGTTCCCCTTGTTGTTGTGGTGTCTCACTATGGATTACAGATTAGGATTAGAGCCCCATTTGAGGCACAATCAACATCGGGTAAGACCGGACAACCCAACCATAAATGGGCGCGGCCGCTTCAATATCAGGTTTCGTGGCGACTCATTTTGGACAACTCAGCTTTAACCCCCCCCCCCCCTCACCCCCCCGGCCCCCCTTTCGCCAGGCGCTAGGGCTGAGCGTCAGCTGAGCTCGAGTCGACCATTGGTGCCACATGCCACGTGGAAACCGCTTGCTCAGTGCGAAGCGCCCCATATGCTCTTGTCCATGAACTCTCTCTCTCTGATTTTGTCCATGCCTTTTTGCATGGGGTCTCGTCTGAGAAATCCGATCGTTGCTTTCAGTTGTAACGACTTGTGACTTGAAATGCATGGAGTGCCAGGTCTGTCCGCTGGTAGGGCAAAGCCATTTGCCCCGCCGGCAGCAAGGGGCGCGGAACAAACGTCCCTTGAGTCCCTTCGAAGGCGGCTCTGAGAAGCAGAGGCGCCATAACTTTTTTTTTTGAATAATTCTATATTATGGGCGGCCCCGCATTTTCTCAACCTTTGATTGGCGGTTTGGATTGGGAACCGGGAAAGGGATCCGACCTTCAAGCTACCAATCCAAGCCCCTAGAGTGGAAGCCGCCGTTTCTCCTTGCCGGGAGGTGCCAAATTGACACTACGCCTGGCGTGTTTCGATAATTGGGAGCATCAATGTTTCGATTCTGGGTGAGACAAAACGGCGCGACTGCTGGCTGTTGATGCAGCACATGCCTATCATACTTGGGAAGTCCCCTGGAACTCCATGTCTAGCTCCATGTTTCCTTTCCTAGGAAAGATCGAAACATGAAGTTGCTGGAGGGAAGTTGCTTGAGGGCCCTATTTGCTGCGCCGTTTGTCTCGAGACCGGAGGGATAGGAAATGAACCATTCGCAGCCACGCCTTCAGAAAAGCTGACAGCCACTTGCCCGAATCGCATTTTTATCATTTGTTTTCAGAAGCAAGCAACACTCTCATCAACAATATGTCTTGCTTGACCAGCTTGCATTTCAAACATGCTTGTCTGGTTGCTTTGTTTTCTGACGTGCCGCTTTTTCCCCAGCCGTTTGCCGGGCCATGCAGAAAGCCGTGGCAGAGGTGGATCAGGAAGGCCTGGCGCTGCGTTGGTTACCAGGCATTTGTCTCAACATGGCCCACACCTCCAGGGTTTTCTTTTATGTCTCTGGACAGGGTTTGTTTGTTCCTTTTGCTCTTTAGGGCATTTTTCAGGGTTGCGCTGTTGCCGTTGACTTCCGGTTGGTCTCAACATGAACGGGAAGGCCCCCTTTTGGAATTCTGGATTGATGAGCAAAAGAAGGGAAACCACGTCTTTTTCGTTTGGCCAGAGTTGAAAGGGACACCAACCGAGGGAAGGACACATCCCCACACGATGTCAAACCGCGAATGTTTCAGATCGTGGTTGGGCTCACTTTTTTTTTGGGAGTATCCACTTGTCCAGCGACTGGCCCGCTTTTTTTTTTTTTGCGTGGGCTTCCCTCGAACTGTAACTGACAAAGTCAGCTTAGGGAGGAGGTGTTGCAAGACCGGCATCCTGCCAAGCATTTCGTATATAAGTTATATAAGCCAATGTCGATGTTCAAAGTCGGGGGTGTGTGAAGGGATGTGCTCCAGAATCTCCTTACTGTGACAATTATGTCAAAGTTCTTGGTGTGTGTCTTCCTTCATCCAATCATGTATGGAACGTTGAGCCGAGGGCACAGGCGGTCTGAACCAGGAAGATCAGTGGATGCAAATGCCTTTTGTATCAATCTAGGGGGCTTCTGTTTGGTTTCCCTTTGGGTTCCTTGTAGAACCATCCCCCTTCCAAAAGACGCCCAAACATGGTGTGGCTCATTTTTTTTGAGCCGGAGAACCGCAGATTCTGAGCCGCACCCAAATCCAATATGGTTGATTCTCTTCGACCAAAATGTCGCAAGGAGCCGGGGGCTAGCCCCTTGCAAGTTGTGTGCTTGTGCTTTCCCCAAAGCAAGTTGGTTGTTTTCTTTTTGGCAGACCGTCCGTTTTGCGACTCATGGCTGGAATGATGGTCTTTGCTCGATGGTCAGCAAGCCACAGTGCCCGTAACCTCTTGACAACCTCTTGGCAATGCCTCGGAAGCTCGTGACAAGCCACACGCTACCTCGTGCACTCCTTAAGTTTTTCTCGCAATGATGAACGCCTCACCCTTTGAACCCTTTGCCTTTGCCAACTCGTATCTACCCTCCCAACATGAAGCCTGACTATAGTAAAGGTAATTGGTTTGGACCATTCTTCATCCGCTCCCCGATTCATGTGGAACCCAAACAGGGGCCGCCCAAAGGTTCCGTGTACAAACACGCAGGGGAGTACAAGTGAATCTCCATTTGTTCCTAAGAAGCAACGGTGCCTTTTTGTTAACCTCCTATTTGCTCAGGTCCCCACAATAGGGGTTCTCTAACGTGGTTGGCGTCCTTGTGGCTGCCCTTTGAATACCCACCAAGAGGGGGTCCACCATTTTGAGAAGCTCCCATTTCAAGCTTATTGATGGGTTCCATCGCGGCTCGGGTCATGGAGTAGGGTCCTTCCGCCAGGCGATGGCGTCAAAGCGGAGGTGCGTTTTGTTGTTTGGGGGCGGGCGGGGTGAAGCCGAAAGGTTGAATACGACTAAGCCCTTGTGTGTGGGGAATTGCGGGGAATATGTGTGCAGTGTCTAATGCCTAAGTGCCGGAGAAGTCGTATGCATTCTGAGTGGCAATCTTTTTGTAACGTGTCGAAGCCTTCTGACGGCAAGGGCAGATGCACAAGGAACAGACAAGCCTTTGCCCCCCCCCCCCCCACCGTACCCAGCCACACAAATGAACATGCAACCCAAGAAGGAGGTCCTTTCCCGAATTAGAGCTGATTGAATGGACACCCCAACACCATTCCAGACACCTTCATGCCTGGCGTCTGCTTTTGGTGGAAAGTACCACTTTTCGGGGTCCTGTTAATCTACAGGGGAGTAAACAGTGACCCAAAAGGAAAAGAGTGCCACATATCCTTTTATGGAGCCATTTGTTGTTGCCCTAAGAAGCCAAATTAATTTTGGGCCCTCAATATTTAGAGTCTCTCGCGGTGTTGCAAAGGAGGGACTAATTCGCTTGGTTTCCCTTTGCCATACCAAAAAGGGGGTTAACGCCTATTTTGGGAAACATTGGCATTGAAAGCTTTAAAGCCTGGCAAGGGAATCCAACGCCATTTTGGCGGTGCCCTATGTGGATTGCCCCCCCCACCCCCCCCCCCCCCACCCCCCCACCCCCCCCCCACCCCCACCCCCCCCCCCGCCCCCCCCCGAAGACAGACCCATGTATCAGATCCCATCCGAGGCGCGCCTGGAAGTGCGCTGGATGGTCAGCGGGGAGCTGGCCTGTGTGGCGAGGAACCCGAGCGCCGCGCGTGGGTATCGTGGGTTTGGGCGAGGCAAGGCGTACCCTTTAATTGGTTTAGTAAATTTAACCAGTCCGTTTTCTGGAGTTGGTAAGTTTTCTTTTGGTTCCGGGCCTGTTGAACATATATGTTTCGGCCAAACAACCAGAATTTGGAGAGATTCGGGGGCATTGTTTGGAGCGGGCGGCGGCACGTTGCGGGGGTTTTGCGGCGTCGCCCGCGAAAGTGTCGCTCACAGGGGTCGCTTGTTTTGGTTGGTGAAGTAGTACAGTTTGCCCAGATTGCTTCTCAGGGTTCCCTTTTGGTGGACTTTTGGGCCAATTTAATTTGAGTTTCCTTTGGTGGATCCCTGTTTTTAGGGAGCCGCAAATAGGAACCACTCATTTTTTGGCCTCCCTATTTTGACACATGCCCAAGCTTCCGAGGCCATTTGGCATAGAAAACGGTTGTGATTTGTTAAAGATGCCATTCTGCTGGGTATCTGAGCAACCAGTTATTAGTTTGTTGATCCTTGTTCTTATTCGTGGGTACCCTCCCACTCACACGAAACTTTATTGGTCCATTTGAGGGATGGGAGGGGATGGCATGGCCTTTGAGGGTATCCTTTGAGGGAAACCCCTGGAAGCTTTTTGAAGGAAAGCCAAAAAGAACCGAAGGGGTGCTGCGAGCCGTTTAAAGGACAACCAAAGGACATTAGAACGTTGGTTTGTCTTCCAACCTCCCGCTGTGACGATCGGGTCTTGTTTTGGAGCGGATGCGCGTTTTGGAGGATAGATAACCTTCCCCTCCTGAAAGGGGTCCCCTATATTTGAGAAACCATTAGGGCACTGTCCCAAATTGGGACCCTCCTTTTTGAACCCTCATTTGGAACATCACGGTTACCAGTTATTCAGATGTCCCCAGGTGAATTAGGTGATATCGGGATGTATTTGGTACCGACCCTTTAGCTGAGCCCAAATTTGGGAGGCTAGGACTTTGCAGGTACCCGCCAATTTCCACCAGCCCCAGCCCAGACATGTTGTTGGGCGCTCTACAAAAAAGAACTGACCCCTGTTGGCTGGCAAATTCTGCTTGCATCAAAGGATCCTTTCGTTCTGGGATAGATCCGCTGCTACCCCAAATTTAAAATAAACGTTGTTTTTTTGGTGGCGACTTTTGGCGGGGTGATTTTTTATTTATTTATTTTTAAAGGAGAAACAGGGAACCCTTCCCGGCCAAAGAATGAAGCCACTTCTTCTGGACCTATCGAAAGAACTTGAACCAATTTGAAAGGGACCAAACGCGCAAAACGGCACAGAGTGGAATCCCCCAAGACGGAGTGGCACCAGCCTGATCAGACTTCCTAGGCTTCTTCAGATTCAGCAACGCAGCCTTAGCAAAGCCTCCCAGACCCAAGGCCGGTTCAACATGTGCAGCCTGTCAGTAAGTTCAATTCATCCCTTCTCATGTGCTCTCTTTTGAGGGAATCGTCCAAACGGGATCCTCTGGTTTTCCTTGAAAACGGCCACAATACAGGTACGTACCCTGAAAGAAAGACAACCCCATTTTACAACATGAAGAGGCTGAGCAGGGCCTCTGGATGTGGAGGGGGCAAGGCACAGTTCCCTCAAGCCAACAGGAACCTTGTGTTTTGTGCACTAAAATTCGTTACGTAGATTGCAGATGATTCCAAAAGTAGGAACTCAAACTGGGTGATGTCCCTTTGCTTTGTCTTTCAACCCTTGAACGGGTACCGTCCAAACATAAGCACACCAAAAAGGGGAACCGTAAAAAGGATGGAATTCCTTCGGTTTCCCATTGACACAGCCACCCAAAGGGAACCCCCCATCAAAAAGACACGCCAATGCCCCCCGAGGTGGATACAATACCCACAACGCGCATGGCGGACGTGCGATCGCAGGCACGCCCAGCAAAATCCAAGTGGCCGATTGAGTAATTGAAGGGCGATCCCTGCCAAAGCAGCAAATAAGGTATTGTTCCCTTTTCAAGGATCACTGTGACTTCACCATCAAGAGCCAAACACCAGGTTTTGGGCGCTGTTCATTGTGTTCTTTGCCTGTGCTTCCCTGTCCGTTGCCTCTCTCATTTGGTAGACTGCCTTGGGAGAGCTGACTCTGGATTTTTGGTGGGGCTGAGCCCCACCCTTTTTCACAATTACTAGTGGCTCATATTCTTCAGCATTCGCCTGGGTTTCAGGAAAGTCCGTTTGGGGATGTGTCACAAAAATGAGTTGCATCCTCTCGGGAGCTTTGTAATGAAGGGCGAGCAACATGTGCACACACGTGTTGAAAAAGCCAACAGCCATTCCCCCCCCCCCCACAGAGAAACCAACACATCAACCAAGAAGAACTGAACTTGCCCCGAAAGCAAAAGACAACACAGCACGACATAAACATACTTAGAAAGAAATGGAACACGTCGCCAGGTGTATGAGAAGACAGGAGTGCCTGTCGAGCAGCAGTGGCTCTACTGCGGAGGCGGAATCGGATCCAATCAGACCGAGCATAGCCAATGGCTTTTTGGGCCTGCAAAACATATTGTCTGTTTTGTCCCAAAAGCCCCAAAAAGCACAGGGACACACCTAAATGCCAAAAAAAGAGATTCGGATCACAAACCGACCCACAATTGGTACTTTTCCTCTAAAGAAAACCGCAGCACGATGAATGTGTTTGTTTTCTCCCCTCCAGACCTTGCTAACGGAACCGTAGCAGGACATTATTCTGGGAACCTATCATTTTGGTGACTGGTTCTTACGCAACTAATTCTTGAAAGGCTCTCGTATGGGAAACTGAGGCCCTTTCCCCTCAGAGGCTTCGACCAGGGGTTTGCCGTGTGGCCCTTACAGAGGATCTGGACGATTTCCACTGGGCAAGCCCGCTTCGATGCTTTCCGGGGCCGTTTCGCCTCAGGCCCTGCGGTTGCTCTTTTGCCTTCGAGGTTTCCAAGGGCAGGTTTCCTGCTACCAAATGCACCGGACGTCCACAATAGCACGGCCCAAAGCCGGCTGGCAACACCGTCCAAGGGTGAAGACGGCCACTTTCACCAGCAGATCGGCAAAAGAAAGCGGCCAACACAGCGAAATCGTACCAATATCCTTGCTACGTGCCAGAGGAACCGCTAAATAAAAGGAACAGATCTTCAAATATCAATCCGCGATGGAACGCATCTGCAAAGAATAACGACTCTTTCGGCAAAATTCCCGAAGCCCCGCTTATGGGTGCCAGTGGCTAGGGCAGAAACTGAGCTCTTTTTTTGGTAGTGGAATTTTGAGAGACCGCCCTCCAAAGAAAAGGGAAAAAGGGCACCACAACCATTCCACAACCATTCCGTGCTTTCCTTTTGCCAGGCACAGAACTGCAGCAGCAAGCAGATTTGGCCCAGATCAGCCGGGCTGCAAAGGGGGAGATTTGGCCCTTGATGGGACCCGATTCTGTTTACTAGTTTTTTGCAACCCTCAACTGGTTGTTGTGTGACTTTTTTTTATTATTTATGTTTCTGTTTGCCCTGTTTATGTATGTGTTTGATCGACTGTTTTGAATTACCTTGGAAGGACAATGAGGTTGAACTGGGCTTTGCCATAAGGCGCGCAATGTTTGTGCAAGAATTCTATCAGTCTGATCGAGTTACTCGAATCCTCCACGAGCAAGTAGTCGACGCCCGGCAAGACCCGTTCTGCGTGGGGGGACGGAATTGGTTTGAGCCTGCTCCGCTTGCCTTGGGAGAAGGCTTTTCTGGCGTGCAGTCATGTTGCATGTTCACGCTTCTGTGTTTGGAGTGTTTTGCATGTTTCTTCCTGGGGGTGCCATTTTGTGCGTCACTTTGAGCGCACCGGGCATTTTGATGGATCGACCTGCCCCAACGAGGTCGTATGAGCGTTCAGACCGGCATCCAGTCCGGGTCTTGGCGGACGCGTCTCTCTCTCTCTTTCTCTCTCTCTCTCTCTGTGGGTGCAATTGTTGGGATCGGCCAGCCGAAATGGATCTTCGGCATGCCATGTTTTGGGAAATCTCATTTACGGCTTTTCTCGCCGAGGGGGAGGAATGAAAACTTGCCCTTGAAAGCGAGGGTGAGGGCCCAAGCGGAAAAGAAGACAATCATGACTGAGTTGGGCGGCTGTTGCATTTTATGAAGTGCAAACACGTTTCCACTCGTGGGGTCAAAGCGTGCCGCCAAACTCATTGGTGGATGCGTCATGCAAAAGCATCTTCTTGCGCAAACTTTTTCGTGTGCGTATATATAATTATATATATATATATATTTGCGAGAGCGCTTTTTTACCATGCAATGACAAATTCCCATTCAGGCCATGCGAAATGGTTATCATTTCCCGGTCTCCAAAAAGGAGGTGTTACCATGTTTATCGGACATTGGGGGTTTAGGTTACCACAGTCTGCGATACCAAGATCATCCTTCTTTCACGGGAGTCTATGTGGTCATGGGGATGTAATCACTCACTCCACTGCACTCCACTCCACTCCACTCAACTCAACTCAACTCAACTCAACTCAACTCACTCACTCACTCACGGAGAGTCAAGCATTTTGCAGTGGGCAAGTTTCTCATTATCAAGATTAAGTGTTTCCTCTTCGGTGCCCAGTTTCCACAAGCGATGGATCCAGGCTGGTACGTTGCCTCAGCGATCCGCGGAACACCAACCGGGCTCACTTCAGCGAAAACCTGCACATCCATGAGGGGCCCGTGGGGGCCTTAGAGTATGCGGCCAAGCACAGGTTTGTCTCAAGTGTGCGAGCCAACGTTGGGCTTTGGTGTCCTGTTAATTTCCCTTGAACACCGAAAATGGGGCACCCACCATTATGGGGGTCTTGTTTGAGAGTGGGCTGTCCTTTTGGAGGGTCCGTACGTTTGGCAGCGGGTTTGGAAATGGGTACTGGTTTCCTTTTGGCTCCCTTGAAACCAGCCCCAAAAGGGTACCCTCAGAAAGACACCCAAATATGGCCCGGCAGCTCTTTTGGGCCACAGTGGCTGGGAGCCTCATACTCCAACAAGAGAGAGGCTAATTAGGCCATCTACCATCATACCAGAGGTTTGGAGGTATTGGCCTTTGACAGCCGTGGAGTAGTGGGGATGTAGGGTGCATGTAGGGACACGTGCACCGTCTTATCTTCAGATGAGATGAGTCCAGGCAGGGCCATATCACACGCAAGCCTTCACTCCCGCAGCCCCAGATCCCGTCGTTTCAGTCGGGCATTGACTTCCGACTGAACCATTGTGGCCAAACCAAAACTCGACTCAGTGAAGCTGGTCAAACTTGTTTGAGTTCGACTCATCCTTCCTTGTTCGGCACCATACCTGGCGCTGAGCCAGGTTTTTCAAGGCTGGTGGCCTTTGAGGTTATTGTGGTTGACGATCAATGGCGCCGCGACGAGTCTGCACGGCGCTGCAGTGTGACTGAGGGAATCTGATGTTAAGTGCGCTGCAACCCTCACTTAAGCTCTCTTGAGGTGGGTGTGCGGGCTGTGGATCAAGAATCAAGAATCAAGAATGGCACTTGCGTCAGTTTGCTTGAATCACGTCGCCCTATTTGGACACATGCCTGTTTGACATGTGTGATAGGCGGCTTTGTTTGGGAAAGTTGAGATTTGGTGCCAGGATTGTACAGCTGTTGACCACTAGGGAACTTACTCAAACCGAAATCCAACGACCCCAACTTTGGAGGTAGTGACAGTTCTGCCGTCCAATTCGGCGCCCTTCCGGGGCTTTGTGCGTACGGAAATACATGTCGCAGTTAGAGTTCCAACCATGGCCATGGTTGACCCATGGCCGAGGTCGGAAGCTTTACTTGGGTGCGAAGAATCGGGGACGCCATCTATGGCGAGGCCTTGGGGAAGCATCCGAACGGAAAACTGGCCGATTGATTGAAGCCAATGTGCGAGATTCACAAGTCACCCCCGGTCTTAGCCAACCCCGGGCAGTCCTCAGCTGTTCCTTGTTGCCTTTCCCTGGCGACTGAGGTTTCGACAAGGGCCATTCGACTTTCCAGCTCGAGACCCTCTTAGTGGGATTCACACTCCCAACTCTCCAGGAAGCAGCGTCTTTCAGCGCAAATTTCTTTTAGAAAAGACTCATTGAGATCAAGACCCCGGGCACAGATGTCCAGTCGCACTAGTCGTTCCTTCTTATTGTGCATGGGCTTCCCCTTCAACATGCACATCATCAACCAACATGCGCATCGTCAACCAACCAAAAAACGGTGCCCATCTTTCCTGTGGCGACTTCCTTCAGTTTTCCCGGCGCAGCCACGTTTCTTTGACCAAGCCACATGCCTGCCATTGTCAAAAGACCGGGTTCCTTGTGGTTCCTGAAGCCTGGTAATATGCAGACAAATGCGAAGGTCCTGGAAGAGAGCCATGTCCGCCAAGAAACGCATTACTTGGGGAACGCAGGCACTTGAGGGACTACCAGAACTACTGGTCACCACTTGGGACTGAAGTTTCCCACAAAAGGGGGTGGGCCCGAATTTGTTCATGTCCCGCAGCGCCCAAATCTCCCATTTGGCAATTTTGGCAGGTGGTGCTACTATCTGATAGAACTGGGGCTACAGTAAAGCCCATATAGATCTTTAGAACCATGTTAGTAGAACAAAGAGTCACTGGGTTTGGGGCTCTCACGCGATCCTCACGAGCGGGCGCCTGGAGGTTGCAGTTTACAAGTGGAGCCACGGGGAGGCCGTGACTGATGTGGCGGTGAAGAGACGAAACGTCGACCAGGCGTATCCACGGAGTGCGGTGTCGGATTGCTTGGGGTGTGTGACGGATTTCTGTGGGAGACTGCTCTGAAAGCAAGGGGGCGAAGCCATAATAAGATAGTGGCTGCAGTGGTTAGGCGTCATTTTCCCCAAACAGCGACAACTAAGGGATCAAGAGGGGAAGTTCCGAGGAATTTTTAGTTTTGCAACTATGCTGTCGGGGGATCATGTTGATCTTCCAAGCAATCGGTTTGTTTCATGTGCCCTTTTGACATACAAACAGCTCACTTTCTGCAAAGGGTCATGGGTTTGGCCAAGTCTGGCGGGCTGCTGGGATACTGCCCGGTGGAGCAAAAGCGCCAGGCACGACAGACGATTGGCAAGGACCTTTGGGCCGGAGTGACGCGTTTCATGCCACAGGCTCCCCAATGGGTTTTTGGGTCCTGAGACACTTTTGTTTCGATGGCCGGGTTCTGTGTTGGAGAGTCCAGGTTCTGCGTTGGAGGGGTCAGGACAAGCTTTGAGCTGTAGGCTTCTCCAGAAAGTGGCTGGTAAATGCGAGTTTCGACGCAGCCAAGACAACCCTCGGAACCCAAAACAAAAGCAGAAGGGCACGGTTCCCTTAAACCCAAGCACAAGGGGCTTCTTTCCTAATCTTTGACGCGCCCATGCATACTCGGTCGCTGGGCAGCGTGCCCCCGACACACGGCGCACAGGATACCAACGAGTGGACGGCGCACCAGACGGGTCGCAACGTGCCCAACGCGGAGGACCTCGGAGCCTGGGGCTGTCATAGCCGGGGTTCCACAAATCAGGTTAAGGTGCCACTGCTCACTTGGGGGTTCGCAGACACCCGCATGAAAGGATTCACAAAATTCGTTGGGGCGGTCCCCTGCTGCTTTCTGGTGGTTTTTAATGGTCGAACACCCTATATGATAGTGTACTGAACACCCCAAATTCCGCCCAGTAGCACAGACAGGGGGACAGCAATTGTCTCATGTCCCTTTTGGGAAACTGGAAACTGTCACCAGGTCATGCAGCTATGATCTCTGTTGGTTGGAGCTTTGGCGGCCATCAGTTTACATGGGGATGTATGTCCACCATTCATCTCATGAATCTATCCTATACGCCTCCATTTGCAACCAGGATTTTGTTTGTCTTCTGAAAAGCAAGAATCCCCAGGTCAGACCAGGGAAGGAGGACCCCTTCTTCAGCTTTCTTGAGCTTGCAGCCCGCCCATTGACCACTTATCCCATGTGCAATTCTTACAGTGTTTTCCAAAAAAACTGCCCTTCAAAGGGTGGGGGGGGGGGTCTGTTCATAGTTGCCGTTGTTGAGTCGATCCACCCTTTCTCCCTTTTTGCTGGCGGCTTGTTCTAAGGTATTGTTTGAGTTCAGCTCCTAGGTGGTGCCAAAGGAAAGCCGGTTCTACGAACGGGTTAGAGGTCCCCCCCCTGTTGGTTGAACATACCATGGGCTCCTACCACTCTGACTTCCGAACTCTTCAAACAGCGGTTTTCGGGCGGCCTATGAAGATTAGGGGAGGGAACCAAACAGCTTGAACTTTTTGGAAGTGAGCTATGGGTGTCTCCGTATTTGGGGGTTCCCCGAGCGGCAATGTCTTGCATCCTTTTGATGCTTTAAACACAATCCAAAAAGGGGATCCTTTCGTTTAATAAGAACATACGCATTGCCTTCATAGGGTCAACACCTAACACCTGGCCCTAGCTCCAGGACACCTATGCAGAGATTGGCGTTCTGCAGTATTTGTGTGGCCCCCATTGGGGCTGGGCGCAGAGTTGCAACCAACCGTGCAAGTGCGGAAAGGCCCAAAAACAAGTGCTGAGAAGGGTTTGATATCCTTTTCGGGCGGGTTGGGACCAAAACCTTGGAAAAGGGAATCAAGGTCCCTGGACAGCGGGTTTCCTTTCCTCAAACTTCTTTTGCCGATAGGACAAATTGTCTTTGTCCGACTGCTGCATTTGTTTTGTTCTTTCAAGGGGAACTTAGTAGTCCACTGAAGCCATTGACTCATTGATGTTCCAACACCAAAGGGATAAGAAGCCTCAATCTGTGCTCATGCGGCCAAATTGGTGGCTCCCCAAAACGGCAGTTTTTTTTTTTGGTTTCCTTCTTGACTTACCTTAAAACGGGTGCCCTCAACAACCCCCCCCAATCATGATGTCAAAGGCACGCCGGCCAAACGCGCAAATGTCATCTCTTAAATGACAAAGCAGCATGACACTTCCAAGGACTCCTAATTTCTGGCAACTATGTCGACGTGTTGAGCAACATCTGGCCAGCCTGCTCTAAGAGCTAATCATTTGGTCAACTAGACAAGTGGCAGCAATGCTGTCGATTATTCACATCAGCACAGGACCGCGCTCAAGCAAGAACCTCTCTAGTTGCCATTAGCTTGGATATCAAGTTGTCCTTTTTGCAGCGGCTTGGCTACGCATTGTAGCTAGTCGAGTGATAATGAGTGATACCTCTGGCTTTCGGCTTGACTCCAAAATGGACAAAGGGCCAGATAGATCAAGCGTGGCTTCGGTGGGGAATGGCCATGACTGGCAAATGTTTTGATCACACCTTAAGCAAATGGATATCGAGGCAAACTAGGGCACTGCTGCGGCGGGTATATGTCAAAACAGGGGACACTTCCCTGGAAACCAACCTGAAGAAGGGTACCCCGATGTTGAAAACTCGGGTCAGGGAGTTGGCAGAGCGTCCATGACGTGCGCGCATTTGCCAAGGTCGAGGCAGCCAGACTTGCCCTTGTTCCTGCCAAACACTGAGCGCTAGGTTGTCCCAGGGTTTCGAGTGGTTTCTGAAAATAAGAAAGCTCCTTCGGCGGACAGCCGCCGCAGGGCTCAGAATATGGTTGAGATGTCTATAGACAGAATGCGTGGGGCTTTTTTGGTTTGGACAGAATCGTCAAGAATGCGGAAGCTACTCTTGGAGCAGAGGGCCGCTCTCTTTGTCTCAGACGTAAGCTTTTCTCCTACAGTGTGCCGCTGTTGTTTGACTGCCACATGCCCATGCTCACTGGCCCAATGCTGACTTGTTTGTAGTAGTTCGATTCTTGGCATGGGACAATGGTTGTGTCGAGGAAGTGTAAGTCAGGCTCAACTGGCCGTGAAAGCTTTCCTTCCTTATCACAAAGAGTCCCACGCATGGCTCACAGAGACCCAGGGAGTACCGCAAGTTGCAACGTGTGAACTGTGTAGACATCGTGTTTAGGCGAATTTGGTTGAAAGTAGATGGGCTCCGCTGGTTTCGCCTATTTGGTTGTCCAGATATGGAACTGTTTGCCTGAACAACTAATTACCTGGTTGAAAGTTACTGGCTTTGGTTTGGTGTTAAGATGACGTGCCACTGGCACCCATCTATTGCTCCCAGAGGACCTTTGAGCCAATAACTTTGCCTGACAGCTCAAGCCTGCGAAAGGCCAGCTAAAAGCACAGCGAACCAGCTGTTTTTCGAATCCGGGTTCCTTGTATTTGTGCATGTACCCTTTAAGGAACCATTTCCCCGGAATCAACCTGGCGAATCAGGGTGGGTGTATCGTGAAGTCAAAGGCCGGGACACCTTATTCATCAACAAGGGGTTCATGAATCCCGGGTAAGGGTGTATCAGAGAATCCCAATCCAAACCTTACGTGGCGGCCAATCCGTTCATCCCTTATGTTTGTGCGGTTTGGGGGTATTTCCTTTGACTTGGGTGTGTGTGTGTGTGTGTTGAATGTGCTTGTCGAATAGTTCCTATAGCTCTTGACAGTCCATCTCTCGGGGGGGGGAGAATGAATCTCAAGCGGAAATCTCGGATTGGCCTCAGTCGCCCATTTCGCGCCAACCTTTAACCCGATCCTTCAAAGGATTAGCCTTTTGTTTATCCGATTTTGCTCTATTTGTTTGTGAAATTCCCACGAGATTAGCCTTTTATTTGCAAGTTAGAAGGGCGGTCCTTCGGGCAAGTGAGCCTTTCCGCTTCAAGGCTGAAAGCCTTCACGGCCTTCTTGGACGACTCTAAGATGCCGGGGGCTCGGCACTTTAGACCTGCGGTGCTCTTGGCATGCCTGTTAGACCGGGCGTGTTCATCTATTGGGGCCCCTTTCTAGTCGTGTTGGTCAAAAAAGCCTTTTCGGGGTTCTCATTATCAAGATTACCCCCCAGAGGTAGTTTTGAGGGAAACGACACCCAGTTGGTGAATTTGACAACCCCAACAAAGAGTCACAGCATGTGTTTGGGCATTTTCACAATTTAGAGTATTGGGACACCTTCTAGTTGTGAACTCACAGAAGCCAACAGCCAAAGTCACCTATTTTCAGAAGCACCCACATTTTTGTAGTGCTTTTCAGTTGTTAGTTCATGTTATGTACTTTTTTGGGGGTTCTGTGACTTTAAAGAAACTGCAACAACAGATGAGGGAACCGTGCCAATCATTGGAAAGGGTCCATTTTGAAGGACCAGCGGCGTTCTTTCACGTGCCAGGTCAGGAGTTGTGGGACGGAAATCTGGTGTTGCTTGGTGTATGCAACCAAGGAGTGTCGCCGAGCAAGAACCCTCGATTTCGAAGCCTACAGGTTCCTAAGAGGGCTTGAACCAGAGGAAAGCAGGGCCCACGGCCTTCATGTAACCATTGTATGATCGCTATGTACCCTATCTTCGTCTGGTCATAGTTTGAGGGCAGCAAAGGCCCTCTGGGGTTTAACTTCGCGTGATCACGCCTGTTCACAATGCCGCCCTTTTGCCCCAGGACAACTATAGCCGACCAGGTGACCATGAGTAAAGGGCACCCTCTG